CCCTAGAGAGAAGAGTCAACCCAGGAGGCTGTTTCACATTGCCTCTGCTGTGAATAGATGTAAATCATTATTATTGTTTCAAACCACTGTATGCCTGCTCTCTCTTCCTTGTCTCCTCCTTTCTTCATATACAGATCCTATATTGACAATCTTTGAAAGACAACCCTGGACAGTGAAGGCAGCACTTTTATTTTAAGGGGCTGCCTCATCAAATCCAGAAGCCTGTACGAAGCTCATATATGCTGCAGCATTGGATCGTTTGCAGGCTGTTTGTTATGAGCAGGAATCCAAGCAAGCATCAAGCTGTGGTTGTTGTCATCTCAAGCTGAGCATGTGGGATTGAGCTTAAAACTGTTTGCTTGTTTACAGAGCAAGAATTGTAAAACCTTGGTAGATTTTGAAGAAAATCTTGTTTTCTGCCTCACATTGCATATGTAAACACAGATGAATTAATGCTTTTTGGAAGAAGGTGTTTCCATGGCTTTTGGAGACCAAGCCTCCAAGGTTCTGGAGTGCTGCTGCATGCTAAAGAAGCATGAGCAGGCAGAAGGCTTTTGCATTGTATTCCTTCTGGTGTCACCTTCTCTGAGATTACTTGCTTGTCCTCTTAAAAAGCAGAGCAGCGCTCATTGGATCCAGAATAGAACTTCAAAGCAGAATGGGCTGTGTAGTATGCATATGACTTGCAGCATGTTTGGATGCATTGAGTCAGCAGACAGATTTCGTTTAACTGTGATTTTCAAGTGATCTTGTCAGCTCACTGTAGTGTTGCTGTCTGAGGTTGCTGATGGGATGTGTCTGACAGGGGCTGCAGATGAAACGAGGTCACTGAGATATGGGTATCCTGCAGCAAAAGGACTTACTTGGCTTAAAACAATCCTGGTACTTAACCCTGAGGCCAAGATTTTGATCTTGGCTGAAATACCATAGTGATTTAAACTCTGAAGAGTAGAGCTTTGCAGACACGACTCCATGGTAATCTTAATTATTGGTTACTGCACATCTGCAGGTTTGACTAGCATGGGCATATCTGAGATGGGCTGAGAAGAGGAAGATGAATATCTGTACTGTCAAAACATTTGTATGGTGGAACAGCAGGAGTCTTGTTAATTGTTTTTAACTAACTAAATAATTAAAAAAAAAAGCTTCCAGCAGCTGCAAAATGCAGGGAAATAATGTTGGAAAACAGTCAGATTTCTTGGACTTCCTGGTTCACATGCAGTCCTGTATCCTAATTGTGTCCAGATAGCCAGCGTGGGGGAAAACATGTTGAGATGTACATGGAAGGAGTGCAGAACAGAGTGGTGGAGTGCTGTCTGCATGGGTGTGATTTTGGAGGCAGGGGATCCAACCTGGTCACGCAGTTAGAAAGGAGGAAGGCAAGGAAGCACTGCTCAGGGTTAGAAGCACAGTTTTTACTGTTAAAACTGAGAACTGTTAAACGATTTTGTGTACGGAGCCAAATGCCTTCTCTCTTGGCTGTCTCACATGTGTTATTATTCTGGTGTATAGGTGGTTTGTTGGGAAATGTGATGAATTGATGCCTGCTGGTGAATTTGCTCTTGCTTTCTTTCTAGATATTAGAAGGAGTAGCTGGATCCTCGTGAAGGTGTTTTGTGCAGGTGCCTTCTTGACACGCAAAATGGAAGGCCTGCCCGCTGTGCTGCTGAGCACTAAGTGTGCTGTGTGTTGAGCTTGCTGGTATGAGATGAGTAAGATAAGAAGTGAAATTAACATCAGTGCCTTTCATCTAGGGAAGCTGTGTCATAAGGCATGCTGGTTTGTTGAGCCACCAAAACAACTCGGAAGCGAAGGGCTCAAGCAGCTGCAGCCCCCCAGTGTCATACCGTATGGTGACTGCAGATACAGAAGTTCCTTATCAGTTGATAAGGCAGGCATCAGCAGCTACCTGAGGGCTGTGACAAGGGTGCAGCTGAAGCAAAACCAGCCTTCGCTGGCTCTGCTGGAGCAGCCCTGCAGCTTTGGAGCCTGCGCTGCAGGAGTGGGGGCTGCGGGTGCCTGTCTGGCCAAAACAGTGAGTTGTGAAGCTGCCAAGGATCATGCTGCTGTAAACAAATACCCACTCATCCCCAGGTGGGCTGCCAAAGCAGCTCTCCCAGGTTTTGACCCAGTCCTTCCTATGGCCGTGGGGCTTGGGAGAGAGAGCCTGTGAGCAGTGTGGGCTGAATCCCTCCTTCTTAGAGAATCACAGAAGGCATATTTGGGTTGGAAGGCACATTTAAGGTCATCCACTTCCAACCCCCTGCTATAGGCAGGGACACCTCCCACTAGAGCAGGTTGCTCAAAGCCCCATCCAGCCTGGCTTTGAGCAGCTCCAGGTGTTATAGCCAAGGTGGTGGTGGTCCTTGTCTTGGAAGGCAGTGGCATAGAAATAAAACAAGCCCTGTGTTTGTTTATTCTTTTTTTGTGGATTTTTTTTTCTTTCCTTCTATGAGAGAGCCTTCTTGGAAAAGCCGTGTAGGCTTCAAAATATCTGATGCATAGGAGAAGGCAACATTTTGCTTCTCCACTTTTGAGAAGTGCTTTGTAAGGTGGTGGTGAAATGGCAAATTTACGGAAGAACTGTCACAGGTAGGACCCTGAAAACAGCTCTTGGCTGCTGTAGGAACCTCTCGTTGGACTGCACTGAGATCAGTTCAAGTGGTAACTGAAAACAAGAAGCTGGTGGTGAGATAAGTCATGAAATGGCTGCTGTGCATGTCCTGGGGAGGGCTGCTGTGCTTGTAATTTAGTCACTCCTGTATAAGAGATGTAGGAATTCTTTAAAGGTAGTAACAATTGTATAGCTGAACTAAATCTGAATGTGGTTCTTCTGTTGTCTTTGCTCTCCCCAGGCAGTAGTAGCCCCAAACATTCAGAAGTTTAATGTTGAGGATCTCTTTTATGCATAACTGAATTTAGATAGACCTTTGGGGGAAGAATTGGGTACGGGTAAACCAGAGGTGCTGTTATATGGATTTGCTGCTGCTGTGTCAGTCAAATTTCTTCAAGAAAAGGGAAAAAAAAATATATATTTTCATTGTTTTCTCTGTTATTCATTTTGCATCATCTAAATGGGCAGAAGGGGATGACAGAACAGTAGGGGTTGGGAGGGACCTCTAGAGATCACCTAGCCCAACCCCCCTGCCAAAGCAGGCTCCCTACAGCAGGTTGTACAGGTGGGTGTCCAGATGGGTCTTGAATAAAGGAGAATCCACAAGCCCTCAGGGCAGCCAGGTCCAGAGCTCCATCACTCTGACACTGAAGAATGCCCTCTTTAGTATGGAACTTGTGTGTTCCAGAATCTGTTCGCTCTGTTCTGAATTTTTATCTGCAGCTGAGATTGCTTGTGCCATAACATTACCTGCTATTTTTATTGGAAATGAATGATATTAATATTTGCTAATGTCTGGTCCAAGCTGACCTGAGTCTTCAACAGGATGTGCAAATTAATGGAACTGGAAGATCTTGAACACTTGAGATGGCAGAGACCTGTAGGGATTAGAAATGACACTTAAGTAATTTTCTCTTAATTTAATGTGTAACGTAAGAGAGCATTCCAGGTCTCTGAAAATGCAAGATAGGCAGGGCAGCTTGGAGAGCTGTAATGCTGAAAAACTCGTGGTAGAGAGAAACAGACAGTGAAAGGTTTGGGGTTTTCTTTTTTTGTTTTGTTGTTCTGAAACAGCATGTGCTTTGCATTGTTCTGCAAACCAAGGAAGTTCCATCATAAAGCAGAGCCCAACAGAAGTGGCTGCAGTGGTATTTGAGTCTCAAACCTTGCTGCCCTACTGAGAGGGAACACCAGTATCTAATGACAGGAGGGAGAGTAAGGTTGAGCATGGTAAGAGCTCTTCCAAGAATAAATGGGACTGTTTGGAATGCAATGGGCAAAGATAAATTGTGGGCAGATGCTCATTGTGCAAGCAGCAGTAGTAGTTAATATCATAATTGTCCTCCGCCCAGGGAATATTGCTGCCTTTGCTGAAGGCTACCACACCCTCAGATCTGCTGCTGGAGCAGCTTGGGGTGAGTGCTGCCTGCTTTGCTTTCAGCAGCATCAGCTGGTTTAATGGAGGTGGGCTGGCTGGTTTGTGCCAGCCTGGCTTGCAGTGTGAGCTGGGTTACGGGGTGCAGGGTGTAAACTGCTCTTGCTTGCGAAGCTGTGAGGGCAGCTGTGAGTCTGTTTCCTCTGGACTGTTGTCTTCTAACACGGTGTCCTCAGGGTCTACAAGTTTTCTGCTGAGGCCCTGAGTGCTGATGATGCTCTCGGTGCAAAGGAGGGCAATAATCTGTGCTGTGTGATGCTTTGTGTAAAGGAGGCAAGTCATTCTGTCTGCTTCAGTAGCTCTACCTGATAGCACGTATCAGTGGCAGGTCTCTGTTTGGATTATTTTTGGGGTGTGTAAGGGTACGTTAGGTGAGCTAACTTGGTGTCTTGCTCTCTTCTTTCTTTAATATGCAGCTTAAAAACAATGGAGAGCAGTGGATTTTTCCTTGGCGGTATGATGTTGCTTCTCAGTAAACTGCTGGAAGCTTGCACGGAGTGGGTGTGAAATGGATTGTGTGGGCTTTTTTCCTTCCTGCTCCAAGACCACTTCTTGGCACCAAGAAGTTTTTCTTTAGACTTCTTTGGGGAACAGATGCGTGAAGTACAGTTACCACTCATACATATGGCTCTTAAAATATGGAAGCTGTTGGACTGAAGTGGCTTCATATGGTATTGTTGAAGGATCAGAATGAACATGCAAGTTTAGGTTTTTAAGGCTTGAATGTGTAGCTGAAAAGTTTTTTGGTTTGTTTTTACAAGGTTAAATATTTGCATTTCCATGGTTATTTAAGATTACACCCATAGCTGTGAAAGTTATTCTTTCTGCAACTTCCAATGCCTAAAATTATATCCTCACTTAATCTCTTCCCCTGGGGAGAAAAAAAGTATAATGCATAATTAAAATAGTTGTAATTCTTAATTTTCTAATGCAGACATCTTTCTATTGCAGGTTCCCAGTTTGAAAACCGTTAGAAGATACTCTGCCACCACATTGGATTACTTTGTGTGCAACTCAGCATGTCACTTTGCCCTGGATTTTATAAGGTGGCCATAATTTAATCCCCACGTTCAGTTTCTATGTATCGTTGAAGCATTGGAGCTCTTTAGAGCTACTGTTACTTGTGTGGAAACTGATCCCTCTCAAATCCCTTCTCCAAAGGACTTGACGTTACCAGCAATGAGCTCCCAAAGCCATCCAGGTAAGGACAAAACCCCTTGGAATTCAGAAACAAGAGCCAGATATCACTGGGCTTGGCCAAAAACGTGCTGTATTTGAACTGCATAATAGTTTATGTGGAATGAGAAGGCTTTGTGTTGTATTCTTTGCTTTTTGCTGCTTTGTCAGAGTAATAATCCAGTCTCTGCTTCTTTCTTGATGATTGAGATCGTGCAAAGATGGAAAGTTGCATTGCTCTTATCAGCCACGAGGAATTTCTGCCTCTTTTAGGTTTCTGATTGTTGTGTTATATGCAACTGAACGCACTGAAAGGTCTGGGTGTTTGCTGAGATGTTAACCTGATGGTTAATTCTGCCAAAACTGCACTGATAAGTCTTAGTGTTACATGGTATTCCTACAGGGAGCAGTCACAGTTCTGCTAGTGAGTGTTAGTTGATGTTTAAGAAGAAACCTCTTTTAAATTTGAAGTACTTTTTAGTACAAAAACAGAGTTTTGTGGGAACAAGAGTTCATTAATCCATCTCGGTGCTGGCTGGGGGATTATCCCTAATGTGTTTTGTAACTTAAGACATGATTCGTGGCTACAAAATTGTGCATTTCTGTCTGCCAGGAGGCTCTGTAGATAGATGCTCAGTTACCTGCTTTTGAGCTTAAAGTCTTGTCAAATGTTTGTATTTAGTGAGTGTCAGGTAAGCTACTGTTAGGCTTTCAGGTTTGTGAGCTTGGAAGAAGAGTTTTCATTTGTGTTCCAGTATGTCTGCTGATTGTTTCAATTCTTGGTTAGGAATAGTGACCACAGAAAGGTAATCCAGCAATGGTGAGGCACATGAAACTGCTTGTTTAATTATGCTTTTGACAGGTTGCTTTTGTGACTTCCATTTAATCGGTTTTGGGTTAACAGCCAAATAAGACTAAAGTTAAGTCAGCGTCTCCTTAGATTTAAGGAACCATGTGTTTGTAGGGGAAGGATTTTATACGTGCTTCAGGATGATTAATAGCAGTCCATTAGTGGCTTCTGAGGCTGGGAGCGAGAAATGTTGCAGCAGACTGGGATGCTGGAGGTTAGAAGCAGCATGGCTGAAAATCTGAACCTTGCATAATACCTGTTTTATAATTCTGTAATGTAGCAGTCTGTTAGATTTTCAGACATCTTCCTGGTGTTACAGGGAGTGGGGAAATTAAATATGTATGAGTAGTGTTCTGCATGTAGGTATTCAGCTTTGATACAGTTTTTGCAAGAGTGCTTTTCTAGAGGTCTGTTTTTCGAGTGTGTAGATGGTTCTTATTGGAACAGGTTGCCCAAGGAGGAGGCTGTGGATGCCCCATCCCTGCAGGCATTCAAGGCCAGGCTGGATGTGGCTCTGGGCAGCCTGGTCTGCTGGTTGGCAATCTGCACATAGCAGGGGGTTGGAACTGGATGAGCATTGTGGTCCTTTGCAACCCAGGCCAGTCCGTGTTTCTGTATGAGACACCAAGGAGCTAATGGCCTTCTCCATTTTCCTGCACAGTAGTCAGATAGATGGAGCACACAGCTGTGTTAAGAACCAGCAAATAAACCTAATGATGAGCAGCATCCGTCCCAGTGTTCTGGAAAGAGAGATGTCCTTCATAGCTGGGCTGTTCTTCTGGCTCTGAGGGCTGATTTGTCTTGTTCTCCTTTAATCCAAATGCGAGCTCATCCCTTTTTTACCTTGCCCTCGTTTGGTGCCCAAGATCTGTGAGAGAGTCCTAGAAGAAGTGCCAAGGACAGAAGGCAGCAGCTTCCCATGCAAGAGGAGTTTTTTGTGGTGCTAAAAATCAATTTAAGACTTCTGCAACAGACATGTTTATGTGTGATTTTTGCTGGAATAGCTGGTTGCCTCAAACCCAGGGAAGCAGCAGCTCAACTGGCTGGTTGTGGGTACATATGCCTTCTCCTGAGCTACCTAAACTTCTTGGCCCACTGTCACACAGAGGAGCCTGGAGTGAGGTATGCGTTGGCTCAGTGAGAGCTGAAGCTGTGAATCCTCAGTGTTTGGGAGGAAATTTCATATTGGCAGTAACCCTTGAAGTGAAGGACTCCTGTCGTCAGCTGTTTTGCAGGAGATCGCTTAATTTTTGCAAGTTTTTCACCTTAAAAAAAATAATAAAAGCACAGGTAGTGATTTGACAGTATTTTTACATTATGGTGTTTTAGATGTTGGCTTTGTGTGACTGTATCTCCAAGTGCTGGGTTGATATTCTAGAGTGTGTTGTGGTGGGTTTTTACCTCCAGCTCACACCCTGGTGTTCTTACTGCCTGTTTCTCTTTGAGAGTCAGTTTTATAACATTTAGTAGAAACAATATCCAAACATGGCCAAAGATGACATCTGGAGTTCTCACGTCAGTTGTGATAGCTATTTTGATTATGCAGCTACAGGTAATTATTACTAATGATGTGCGTTGTTTAAGGGAATGCTCTGCTTTAACTCAAAAGCCTATTAAATTTTGCTTCAGTGGATATGAGCTTTCTTCTCTAATCTTCTCCAAACCTATCACAAATGAGATTTTTTAGGAGCAGCACCATAAAATTGTTGCAGTGTAGCTGAATGAAAGTGTTTTCTTGGGTTTTTTTTTGCTTTTTTTTTCCCTTCACTCTGCAAAGCTGTCTTGTGGGAAAAGCTGCGTACTGAAGGCTTCTTGCTGAACGAGGCAAAAAAGATCTGGGCAATTAGGTAGTCTAAGGAAAATGACTTCTCTTCCCCAGTTGTTGCCATTCTTTTTGATATATTTTGGATGTTAAAAGAATAAGAATCTGTGTAGGAGAAATGGTGTCCCCTCCCAGTGGAAGTGAATCCTCAAGAGCTTCCAGTGGATGTTCCAGGCTGTGTTAAGCCCTAGCTGTTAGAGTAAAGACCATGACCTTTTATTTCTGATTTCTGGCCTGGAGGCTCTTTGCAGTTCTTACCTTGAGCTCCGGGTTGGGATAATCAGCTCCTAGGAACTTAAGGAGCAGGGAGAGCAGCAGTCTGCTGCTGGGGTCCCTCTTTTCCACAAGCACCAGCCGCTCCTGATGAACCACCATCCAGCTCCCTGCAGGTACTGGTAAGCTCTGTGGTTGCATGGGCAGGAATGTGAATCATTTTGGGTGGAACTGCTGGGCAGGCTGGGGGCAGGGGGAGGGGACAGGGCTGCAGTTGAAGGCTGGGGGGAGGCAGGAGGAGGAAGATATGTGGAGCCCATCACCACAAAGTGCAGAGGCATTGGGTGCCCTTTGGCAGAGGAGTTGCTGCTTGAGTGCTGAAACAAAGCTGCAAAAAATGCTGAAATTGTGCTATGAAATATCAAGATGCTGCGAAGCATAATTAAGAAAATTAGTGGAATTAAGATAACATTTAGGATTATGACGAAGTTTGGGATGCACGGACAAGCACGTTTAGTTTCACTTCTTAACTTGCTGTGTTGACCACAATTTAGGTTTACCTTATGTAACCTTTAGTGCTGGTACCACTTGTGCACAACCAAGTCTGCCCGGGCAAAGGATGGATGTGGGCTTTTTTTAATTTCCTCCCATTGACCTGAAATGATTTTTGGCTGTCACCTTCTGCCTCTCTCACTTAATTTTCAGTGGCTTAAGTTTCGCTGTAATGTCATTCTTTAATCAGTAAAGATTGTTCTACTGATACCGGTTATACATAGAGATCAGTTTAAAGAAACCTGAATGCTTAAAGTTAATCACTCAACTGATTTGTATTTGTTTAAAGTTCACTCTCCTTTGTAAAAACTGGAAATCTCCATGCTCAGTGAAGCGTTTTGTTTATGAAATGTTATCTTACAGGAATTAGTCTGAATGCAAATGCTGTATTCCTTCTTCAGAGCTGCTCTTGCGGGGATGCAAATGTTATTTACATCTTGAAGTGCTGAATGTTTGATAATTAGGAATATTGAAATTTAAGAATGAGTTGCCTATCTAGTATGGAAAAATCTGCAGCACAATCATTAAAGCTGAGAGGAGATACCAGACAAAGCAGAAAAGCTTCATGATCACAGAACACAAGAAAAATGAGTTAGCAAGTCATGTGCTGTGATTTTGCTAGACTGAGAAGTACTTTTGTGTGGCATTTTATCTGCCAAGTGTAAGAAGCCACTCTCCTTTCACATTCCATGGCTTAATGAGGCATGGAAAGCCATTTCATGCACTATACATAAGAGCTTTCCCTGTTAGTCTTTCAAACATTTTGCACCATAAAATAAATATTTTATGCATTCTCTTTTTAAAGATTAAGAAGTTTCTGTGGAGATGCATTTCAAACTGGCTTTAAATGACACTGACCTACTTTCTGGCAGTAATCAGTCTGCTTCTGTAAGTTATCTGGGGACAAGAGCATTCTTTCAATAAACATAAAGAGCATGCGAGTAAATTCCAGTCCTCCTTCAGCACAGCTTGGGCACGGCTGATCCTTGGTGGCTGTTGTCTGGAAGATGATTTGGATATGGCATATCTGTGCTTGCCCCTTCTTGTCTGGTGCTCCACTTTGCTACAGCTGAGTTATTTTAGGTTGGGCATCCAGGCTTCTATTTACAAGTAGAACACTAGTGAGTACGGGCACAACCATTATCTCACATCCTGTCTTTTCTCCACGTGAAAAAAAACAGGGATTTCTAGTATACCTGCTTTCCCCACTGCTGAGTGTGTGAAGCTGGTTGGATGGAAGCATTCAGCTGGTGGGCAGGACCAGCAGAGGAGCAGGAACTCAATGGGAAGAGCAAGCATTGCTTGTCTTGAACCTGTTGTCACGAGGAACTCCTCCCAGGCATGGGGGTCGGCTGAGAAATAAACTCAGCAGCAAGATCTGCCAGTAAGAAGTAGTCACTGCTGCTTCTGTTCCACGTGGGATAAAATAAACTGTATGGCAGCCACGAGGGTGATAAGTAGAAGAAACACTGAGAACCTTACTTTGAAGATGTCCGCCGTTCAGACTTATTACCAACTTTTTTCCCTGCGTTTGTTGGAGAGCTTTTTGTCATTCTTGGTCAAAGCTGGCATCTTGAAGCCTCTTCTT